GCCCCTTGTCCTGTCGCTGGGCACTACTGAAAAGAGCTTGGCCCCATCCTCCTGACACCCACCCTTCAGATATTTGTAAGTATTTGAGGTTGCCTGGGTTGTTCTCCAGCCTGGGAATCCTTATCCCTCTCCCACCATCTGAGCTGCCCTGCCTGTAGCAAATTGTACCCTGTGTTGGTAATTAGTCAACAGCAGAAGAAGGTGTTGGTCACACATGATGCTCTGAGCGACAGCCAGATCTTGCTCATCTTTAGCATAGGTCTGGGGCATCCTGGTTGGGGCTGGGCTCTTCCCACCATGTGCTTCTCTCATTCTTCGGTCCTGAATCCTTTCAGATTAATGTCCCCTGCATCAGCACATGAGCTTGAATGGAGACTGGATACTGCTGTGTCCCAGGAACTGAGAAATCTGACAGAGCAGCATGAAGCGAGAGGAGTACGAGAAACATTTTGTCCCTATCATACTTAGCTTTGTGTTTTCTCTGTGTGTGTGTGTTTGTTTATTTTTTAATGGAGAACAGAAGATTGATGGATGAAATTAAGAAGAGGGATGTGTAATTGGAAAACAGCTCAAGAAGGCTACAGGCAGCATATTGAAGGCATCCATCAAACATCCAGCTAATGTTGTTAACGGTGTATAACACAAACAGGGGCTGCAGGAGACACTAGGAAAAAAATAAAAGGGAAGAGAAAGGGGAGTAGGCAGGACAGGGGAAACAGCAAGGGAGGAGAAGAGCCAGCAAGAGAGTACAATCAATAATATCTGTACTGCAGTCGCATCCAAAGGCTCCTGTTGGATCAGTGCAGGACCGTACAAGCACATTAAGAGACAGTCCCTGCCCTCTACAGCTTAAACCCGGGAATTACGGGATGATCGCTGGAGATGGGTTTTAGATGATCACAAAATTTTCTTCTGATCTTGAATCTCATTTAATAGGATCTACTCTGAATGGGTTTAAAGGCAGAAGGAAGGTAGCTGGTTGTGCCAAGAATACAGACACAGTAATGCCTGTCAGCCAGGCATGCAATTAATCTGAGCCACTTAGAGGACTTTGGTTTTAATTATAAAAAGTAGGTACAAATATGTGCAGTAAACCTCCGTAAGCCCCACTGGGGCCATCAGCAGGCTACTCAGAGGCATTGACATGTGACTGGGTTTTGATGCTGTGTTTTCAAAAGGATGGCCTTAATGGACCACTTTGTGGGAAATATTCCATGCAGGGTGAACATTAAGAAAATGAAAAGCACCTTTGTGTGGGGAAGGAGAGAAAACAAAAGCTAAAATTATTCGTAGGCCAGGGGATACCTCTAGTCCTGAAAACAGGGAAGAAGAGAGGCTCTTAAGGACTGCGAAAAGGCAGGTGAAAGATAGAACAGAACAGAGAAGAGCACACGCATGATGGATGCAGGGGGCGGCAGTGGGGGAGAGAAGGTAAGGTTTCAAAGAGAAAATAAAGTATTCTGAGACGGATTTTCTGAAAAGGAGTTAAAGGCAGACTCCTCCTCTCCTCACAAGTGACCCGGTGCTTTATGCGGGGTTTAACTTCTTCAGCATTGCATGCTTTGGAAAAGCGGTAGAGAGGAGGTGCGTGTAGAAATAAATGAGCAAGGGGCAGCAGGGGAGCTGCACGCACAGACAGCATCTCCGCTTGTTTGCAGTGTTCGGGAAGCAGGAACAGGGCTGGCTGTGAGGAGGAGGAGGAGGAGAAGAGAACTAGAAAGGGAATTCGTTAAAGCCGTTCTAACTCCGATCTGCTCTCCTCTGTGCTCTCTTGGTAACAGAGCTGCCACTGCCGCCTCCTCCTCTTCTTCCCTCCAGAAGCGACCTGAGTTTGCAGCAGTGGCAGGCTCGCTGCATGGAAACTGCGCCTGCATAATTAAGGGCTTTTATTAAAAGGAAAAAACATTGGCTGCCTGACTCTAGCACAGGGACATTTGTAATTGCAAGCATCCCGGAGGAAGCAAGGGGCTGTGATGACCCCGAGCCAGGGCCCAGCTGTACCCAGGTGTCTGCTGCCATTACAAGGCAGTGCAGAGCCCTCCTTGGATTTCTTTGGTGGCTTTTTCTGTTCTTGTGGCTCCAAGTGATGGGAAGCTTTGCTTCGTGCTGCTGCGCTGGTAAGGGAAGGGATTTCCTGGAGGGAAAGCAGCCCCTGCTGCGGGTAACACCATCCTGCCCTGTGTCCAGCCTAGAGCTGTAGCTTACCAAACACCTACACCTTTGGCACTAAAGCTTGAAGGAGATTCTTGTACGTGCCTGGACCCAGCTGTCAGAAAGCAACAAAATTACGCAGAGCCAGCTCATTTGCTGCACAAGGCTCCTGCTGGCATCACCAAAACACACAGGCTCCTTGGCCCACTTCTTGGTCGGCTTTGACTAGCTTGGAGGTAGAGGAACGGCCACCACGGTGTTCCCTGAGTGAGAAGGCAAGAAGCACTGGAGATGATCACCATGAAGGGTTGGTTTGGGGAGCAGAGGAGATAGGTTCCCTGGAGGGATCGCTCCAGTGTGGTTGCATTGGTGTCTAACAAGGATGGAGCTCATGTTGCAGCAATTATTTCCTTAACAGGGCTTGGAAGTAGGTACTTGCCTGCCAGCGGGCTTGCTGAGACATGCTAGTCTTCTGTCAGATTTGGCTGAAATAGGTTTGATAGTTATTGGCAGTAGGGCACTGATGAGCCCTGCAATCGCATAATTCTTGTTTTGTCAGGAGACCAAGGTAAAATGTCAGGGAAAAAATTGAAGACAGATCCCAAGAAAGTCCTAGAGAATTCATTTAGCGTAGCAACCCCTGATACCTTCCAGGACTACTGTGTGGCTGCTGTCACTACAAAGCAGAGCCCTTTCAGACCAGTCATCATGTATTGTCTCACACGATTCTTTGAGTCTGAAGCAAGGCAATCCTTCTTCCCATTTGGACTGATAAGGAGATGCTGGGCCCAGATCCTGGGAAAGGAGTTTCCTTTGCACTTAGTGTGCCTACGTCCCTCTGAGGACCTTGGTTTTAGACGAATGGCCTTCAGTACATCTAGGAAATCCCTGGCAGAGCAGGAGTTTGGAGCCAACCAGTCTGAACCTCCTTTCCTTCCTTTGCATCAGTGTGATGCCATTGCCCTCTTCCCCCAACTTGCCTTCAGCCTCGGAGAGTGAGGGAGCCTGGTGGGGTGCCAGTCGGCAGCTCGCCGGTCCCCAGGGTGTGTGACTGCAGTTTCCCGACAGAAGCCTCTCTGTGGGAGGCTTGTGAAAGTTTTATGCTCCCGTTAGCCACGTAGTGAGCATCGCAGTGGTAGTGAGGAAGTCCACTGGGAGAATTATTTGACATCAGAAAGGTAATCCCAGAGGAAACAGATTACAGATGTTACCAGGAGGGAGAAGGGGATAAAATCCAGCTATCAAACATAGGCAACCTGCTTGGAGTGATAGCAGAAAGTCCTCAGATGGTAACAAGTGACTTTGCTCTGTACCGTTCAGCGTTTCTGTGGGCTGGTGTTCAGCAGCAGCAGCAGCAGTGGATCCCTCTTTCTGGAGCACTGCTTTTGTTGCTGGTGTGTAATAACAGTACCGGGAGATTTCCTACCCAGAGAGGGACCAAAGCAGGAGCTAAAAGCTGAATGAAAGCGTTCCTGACTGTGCCAGAGCCATACAGAAGGCAGCACATGCACTGAGCAAGCCATTTGATGTTGGACGTTCGGAAGTAATCTCTGGGATCTCATGCTCGTATGACTTACTGCACACAGGCTGTTAAGGGCCTTCCAAACAGGTGAGCCAGGACTGGGATCTCATCACACCATGACTTTACACAGGGCTGAGTTATGTCCCTGAACAAGTGGTCTGCAATATGCATCCAAGTACTTCAGTCTGTATTTTCCAAACCGATCATTAATGCTGGATGCTCTGTTGAAGGCATGGCTACCTTGAGAAGCCAAGGATCTGATTTCGAGATAGACTGACTGCTCATTAATCGTGTTGACTAATGGGAGCTGAAGGTGCTCCACAATTGTGTGAAAAATCCAGCATGGGACTGCTGTAGCTTAGACCATCTGTAAATAAACCACCCCTTATAGCTGATCATTGCTGATACTTTTGTCCTTTATTTCTCTGTATTTTCTTTTAGTTCCTTTCACCTTATAGAAAGAGTTTCAAAAACAAATGCTAACTGTTGCGATTCCTCAGCTCTCACGATGATGTACATTACAGAAATGCTAAGACAGAAATTAAAGTATTCTGACATCTGTGATTTAAACTAAATGCTGCAGTGGCCAAACACTGCAAGCCAGGAGTAGAAAGGGATGTGGAATAATTAAACTTTCAGCAGGCATCACCAGCACTGTGGAATGATTGAGGCAGGGATTTCATGGAAAACTTAGTAGGTGATAGCATGCATCACTGATTGCCTCAATGCATCTGCATAAGGAGGATGAATTGCAACTGCGGGAGTGAAAGAGATGCTGGTTCTCTTGAGGATGCCCGACATTTTCTGTTTTGTCCGCTTGCATATGCAGCAACACGAATCTTGCACACAGTTGTTTAAAAAAAAATCTACAAAATAAGCAAATTAAGTGGTCTCCACAAAGGTCGGGAATGAATACCAGCCCCGGAGAGGGGCACGTAACAGCCCTGTCTGGCCTCAGATTCAGCAGTGAACAGTCCTAAGTCAAGGACAGTGGGTTAATCATGGGGCAGTGGGAGGTTCTTTATAGCAGCATAAATAGATAAAAGCTTCTATTCAGTAGCAAAGGAATTGGCCAGGGCAGCTGGATAATGGTTTGGGCCTGCAACGTTAGTGGGATTCCTTGTAAACTTACACTTAGACAAATGCTTTGCTGAGTTGGGGCCCAACATTTATCACGTCTCCCTCCAAGCAAGCCAAACTCAGTCTATTAGTTTGGCCTCTAGACTGACTGTCCTAGTGTTTGTGGTGCCTGCTATTTCGGAGGCCTTACTCTTTTTTCTGCTCTGAAAGGTAGAGAGATGCCTGGACATTGGAAGTTCTCTGCAGCATGCTGAAGAGACGTAACCTTCTTACCACACTCCTGATCGCCTTGCCATGGGCTCTCCTCCTAACCTTGTGGCACCAGTACCCAACCACCCGCTACCTCAGCCTGCTGAGAAGTAAGTGAAAGAGTTCTGCTGTCAGTGTGCTGGTGGCTGTGATGCTTGCTGGTGCGAGCCCTCAGTAGGAGACGCTCTCTCATGGGGTGGATTAAGCAAAGACAAACATGCCTGAAGGGCCTCTCAGAGTCTGGGTACAGCAGGCACAAAAACTGTTCTTAAGAGCGTGTTAAACATGCACCTTAGGCAGGCTTTGGGGAGAGGATGCTGATGTGCTGAGCACTGACTCCAGCCAGATGTGTCCCCAGCACTCCCCGGAGAGAGGAAGCCCGGCAGTGATTAGTTCTCTGACATCTCTCTTCTTCTGCTTCCTTCCGTCCTTTTGTCCCAGAAGAGACAGATGAGAACGTGACCTCTAAAGCTCTCCTCAACGGTACATCTGCACTGAGAGAAGAAGGCCTCCCATCATGCATTCGGCAGCAGCAAAGCATAGGGGCAACCCCTAAAGTCATCCAGAATTATGTGTACTCCAGGCCTCCCCCATGGTCAGACACCCTGCCGACCATCTTCGTTATCACCCCTACCTACACCCGGCCAGTGCAAAAAGCTGAGCTGACCCGTCTGGCCAACACCTTCCTACATGTACAGAACCTGCACTGGGTGGTGGTGGAGGACTCGCCCCGGAGGACCAACCTGGTGTCCAACCTGCTGGAGAAGACAGGGCTCAACTTCACCCACCTCAACGTGGAGACGCCCAAGAGTCTGAAGCTGGGGCTGTCCCGGATCCCGCCCCACACCCCAAGGGGAACACTGCAGAGGAACCTGGGGCTGCACTGGCTGAGGGACAGCTTCAGCAACACCACACCGCCGGAAGGCGTAGTGTATTTTGCCGATGATGACAACAGCTACAGCCTGGAGCTATTTGAAGAGGTAAGGGCCATAGAATTACATGGGACAGAAAAAACAGCATAAAGGTGCAAAGCCTATTAAGGGCCGGGTGCCCTTGCAAAGACTTTTAAGATGGGGCTACCACGTGGGCTTTTAGCACCAGCTGGGAGATAAGGTGAGACGCCTAGAGCCCTCCTCATGCACTCAGTGGGAGCTGGGTATAGGCAGACGCAGACCTATAGCTGTGCATAGCCAGTAGCCATGCTCTGAGGGGCTGAAAGAGCACAAGCACATCCATCGTGGTGTAGGCTGCAGGTGTGAACAGCCACTGACACGACATCCCACCAGCTAGAGCCCCTTTTGCCAGGGACCAGAGGATATATACTCCAGAATTTATCTCTCTCCTCAGGGAGCGCTGACCTGATTTAAATTAGCGCCGAAGACAAACTTCTGGCAAAGCATAAATCTGCACTGCTGTAGGGGTGTGACGGGTAGGGGATGTCAGAAAAGTTGACTGACCTTCTAATCCACCTTTTCTCCTTGGCTGCCCTTCTGTACTCTGAGTTCCAGCCAGCACAACAGCACTGTGCCCCTGGGATCACAGAAGCTTGCCCAGACTTCTGCTGGAAACCTGGCTTTTGTGAGATGCCAAGTCTATTGTAAACTTGCAAAAATGATTATTCAGTAAACTCCCTTGTCACAAATTCAAGCCAAACAGTACTGCACCCCTTGATATACAGAGTTCTGCATCAGAACACATTTCCAGTTTTCAGAATTTTTTAGATCTCTGTTAAGCTCATTCTTTCTTACTTCTTTCCAGATCCTTTCTGATAGTTTCAATAAAACCCCACTCCTTTAGGCAGTAGCCATGGATGGAAGAACGAGGGTGGGGGGAATTTGCGATAAATGAGGATAAAGATGCATCAGCCAGGGAGGGAGATTACTTGCATGAGGGTGAAGTTGGAGTGAGTGGGGTTGATAATACAGATCTAGAGGCTCGTCAGAAGTTGTGTTTGGCATTTACAAAAATGATAAAATTTTACCAAAAAAAAGAGATAAAAGTTCAGATGAGATCAGAAAACCGAAAGTTTACCTTCTTCTGAGGGACTGAACATGGGCATGGGAAAGCAGTGAGTCTGGTGTTCAGAGAACGTGCTAAAACAGCCTTGTGGCTTTGCAAGCTCTTCAAGACCTAGCCCAGGTGAACAAGAGCCCGTGCTGCCTAGAGCCGTGCGACTGTGCGGGACGTCAGCGGGAGGACCGGTGCCAGTGGCAGCAGGGGATGGTGCACTGGTGGGGTGGGACAGATGTCGCGGAGCCGAATTCTCACAGCGCTGTTTCTTTCTGGCACGCAGATGCGCTACACGAGGAGGGTGTCGGTCTGGCCAGTGGCTTTTGTTGGGGGGCTGCGATATGAGTCCCCAAAAGTGAGTCCAGCAGGGAAGGTTGTGGGCTGGAAAACCGTCTTTGACCCTAACCGGCCCTTTGCTATTGACATGGCTGGCTTTGCTATCAGCATCAAGCTGATTTTGGAGAAGCCTCAGGCCAGTTTCAAGCTGGAGGGCGTTAAAGGAGGCTACCAGGAAACCAGTCTGCTGAAGGATCTAGTCACCATGGATGGGCTGGAGCCCAAAGCAGCCAACTGCACAAAGGTGAGTAACACGAGAGACCCTGAAGATACGTTCTCCTTGCTGGGTCCTGGCTGCTTTTGCAGCCTCCTGCCATGCTCATCCACCTTCCACTGTGCCTGCCCTGTGCTGGCACATGTCAGCGCCGAACGGTGCTGGGACAGATGGGCAGAGCCTGACAGATTCTTCACAGATGCGAAGCTCAGAGAGCGCTGAGGAACAGTTAGTGCTATGCACTCGTTTTTAATAATGAGCCTCAGCCGTACAATTCACGCCCAGATTGCTTCTCCAAAATCCAGGAGGATTGCCAGAGGGTTGAGACTGGGGTTTCGGTCCAGAATGATCCCTCCTCCTTGTCACTGTCTCCTGCTCGTGTGAAGTCTCTCCCAGGTTCAACCCCTTTGAATGACAAGCTTCAAACAGCTGCGGTCCCTGAGTTGCTGAGGATCCCACCAGAGGGATGCGCTGCTCTCGGCGTTTCCATGGCATTCAGAGCCTCTGAACTCTTTATGATTCCCTCTAGGTGTTGGTCTGGCACACAAGAACCGAGAGGCCCACTCTGGTTAACGAAGGCAAGCGTGGATTTACGGACCCCAGAGTAGAGGTGTAAGCAGAGAGCCAGCTCCAGGGTGTGAGTACTCTTGTCTTTATGTTTTTTGGCAAGGCAAATAATCTGTACCTATTTCCTTCTTTGTGCTATTGTTTCCCCAAAGACTGCATATACGATTGTCCCAGTAACTCCCTTACCATGCCACCCTTTGCACAAGAAGTAGGTCCTCATCTTTACCCACTTATGAGCTGCATTTTGTACTCATTCAAGCCTCCCTGGCAGTCCACATGGAAGCTTTGCCTGCATGCAGACAGAGAGAAAAGTGGCAGAAGAATCCCACGCTTTCACTCGGTAATAATGACAAGCCAAATTCCGTGCTCCCCTGTTTCTGCCAGCTCCAAATGCTCTTTAGTGTGGGAGTTGTCCTACAGCGTGTGGAAGGAGATCACACGCCTGCAGACAAGCTTTTCCCCAGCAGTCCTGCCACTTCCACAGTGCTCTGTGCATCCACCTTCAGCTTTTAACCTACATGAACAACTGTGGTGTGGGTGCAGCAGGGAAAGGCTGGTGGGACCCTTAGACCACCTCAAAACAGGAACCAGCAAAGCACAACCTACACAGACACTGAGGGAGTTTGAAGGGCTCGGTACCAGAGCTAGGAATACATCTGCTGCTGAGGGGAAAAAGCGAAGGCACTAGGAGTGCCCTTGTGGTCCACAGAGCCAAGTTCAGCAGCAGGGTTCGGGGATTATGGCAACCACCAGGGGTGAGCGCAGGAACGTATTGGAGATCAGCGATATGTTCTTAGAAGTAGAGATTGATGAAGAACAGGCTTCAGAGGAGCTATGACCTTCTCTGCCAGCTGCCACGCCCTCTGATCCCAATGTCTGCCCTTGGCGGATTCCTAGCCCAAAAGTCCCAAAAGAATAAAGGTATCCAATTTGGGAGTATCCAGCTCTTTCTGGAGTGACTCATATCTGTGGCAAGATACAGGATGCTGAATGATTTACTCCTACTTTGGAAGATATTTCAGGGCTGCTTTGAGCCCTGACCCCAATATACACCTCAGCTCAGCTCTACCAGTGGAAATAAAACTAACAGCTTTTATACAGGCAGTCATGAGTATTTCAACTTCTGCACCGATATGCTTTGTGCATTGCTAGTAGCTGCACACAGCATTTCCACATCATCTCGTCATCTCTGAGTGACAGCTGTACAAAGAGGGCAAAGCAATCCTAGTGCCTGCACATCCAGCAGCAGATGGGAGGGAGACGAGTCAGCTGCTTGAACACAGATGCTCGGATATCCTTGCAAACCTAAAATGATGCCAGACACCTATGCTTAGGCAGCAGCCCCTCTTCTAACCCGTGCTTCTGTGAAATCCACTGGCGGTAACGTGCTCATTTTACATGCCCATCCTGTAGTAGGTCTGCAGTAGGCTAAAGCTATGATTGCCCAACTCAGCTCGTAAGGTCTCAGAATCCAGTTAACTGGACTGGAGTTACCACTTACTTTGTAAAGGATGAGCAGGCTTATGAAAATTTGGGCAGGCTAGACTTGCCTTGCCTTCTTGTCAGAGGAGGGGGCCAGCTGCTCGGCTGACAAATGCAGAGTGTGGATGTGGTTTTTTCATAAATGTGCCATTTATGTATCGGCGCTTTCTATCGACCCTCTCTCTGCGGCCAAACACTCAGCCATCCTCCAGAAGAAATGCCACACACCTGCTATGGATTCTCATGGGAATGGCTCCACATAAGTCATTTGTTGTAGGAAAGGGAAGCGACCAGTCTGAGAGACCAAGACACTGCCACTTATTCACCAGCAGGACTTGCACCCTTATCTAGAGCCATCCTCTCTGGTGCTTTCAAGCCAGAGCGTCAGCTGGGCCAGCTCTGTAGATTCTGAAGGAGCTTTCCACTTGTGTCAGCAGAGAATTTGGCCACAATCACTTCTGCACCACTGTCTGCCATGTGGGACAGCTGCTCCAACCTGCCAAGGGGGCAGGTGGCATC